CCCCAAAACCCCAAAACCCCAAAACCCCAAAACCCCGTATTGGGTATTAAATTTTGAAAAGAAAATGGAGAGATTATATTTACAACGTGTATTTTTAGATAACAGATTGGAGCGCTTGATGCAGGAAGGTGTAATACAGAAATAAAGACATTGCTTTGGTTTCTATTTTGGTAAAATCCTTGCTTCTGAAGCACCCGAATTCCGCATTAAAATGGGTAAACTGTCTTTACGCAGCATTATATTCCTGTGAAAAGAAGAATTTTGTAACTGACTCGAAGTATTTAAGTTTTGTTGATTGGAGTGATTATAAATCTATCTGTTGATCCTTCGTCAAAGAATCAAGATGAAAAGACAGATGTTCTAAAGGTATGCTAGCTTAAAGCCTCTTACCAGCTTAATTATTTCTTGCTTTTTCCAAGTTCGATGCTTACAAAAATATTTCTCCAATAAGTGTTCTTATATTTGTAAATCAGCATTAATACAATTTATATCTAAATATTTTAAAATAATGGAGCGTCTTTATTAGTATTTGAAAAACTCAAGTTTTTGATCGAGTCAGAACTTTAATGTCTGAGTTTCTGTTTCTTAGAATAATATTAGGTTTTGGCAATTTAAAACTTTGCTAACTTTAATGTAGTTTTGAAGGCTATCAAATTTAACAGATTGTTCAAATTTGAGTTAGCTTATCCAGAGAACCATATTTATATAAATACTTCTTCCAAAATTCTAAACAGCCTTGTAAAGGGAGTGTCGACATTTTTAGGAAGATTTACGCTTTATAATATGAATCTGTCTCATAAACAGTTAATGAAGGTAATAACAGCAAGCTTGCAATGCCAAGAGATCACTTTTAGAAGATGCTTCATACTTTCTGGCAAGTTGAAATGTTATCCTAAAGGTAGCTCTAATTTAAAGTAACTTGACCTTTCATTATACAATCCCTTTACGAAATAATGATCGAATCATGAGACCTAAACATCGAAGAATTGCGTAAAATGCCGACTAAATACAACCTGAAGGGTACAAAGTTAGCATATAAGGGGATTCTGACTGAAATAGTTGACTTGATCTAGTCATCTCAACTCTAAAATTTTCCAATTTTCCATTCATGGATAAATAAAAGTGTCAATCACTGGGTTTTATCTCGGGGTTTTGGGGTTTTGGGGTTTTGGGGTTTTGGGGTTTTGGGG